TACAGGTGTGCTGAGGTCAAAAAGCCACCCCCAGCATGCCTCCAGTTTTATGTACATTCTGTGTTTCTCACTGGTTATTCCCTTTGACCCACCCTTTTCCACAGCGGATAAAAAGCAAGTTCTCTCCGACCCTAGCAGCTTTTGAACTGGGATTTCTTGGAGGAGAAAGCTGAATTAAAACCTCCTAAGAGATCAGAGCTACGAAGATCTGTCTCTTTTCTTCCGTATTTGCCTTTAGAGCTGTTTTCACTCCAGCAGCCCTTTTGAGGGCTAAAGAGCTGAAAGCCCAGAAGCAGCTGCTGAGGTGCCCGAGCCCTGAAGTTCTCACCACCCCACCGTCACACACAGCTGACTTCACCTTCCCATTTCTCTCCTTTCCTCACTCACATTTCTCACACTTGTGACCTCCCATTTTCTGCCTTTTTCCCCTCACATTTCTTCACCCACTGCTTCCTGTCAGTGACTCTTTCTCTTCAGGAGTTGATGGGTTTCTCTCGTTTTTTTCCTGCAATCCCCTACTCAAAATATTGGGTGCTAGAGCAGCAGCCCAAGAAGCCTCTGCCTGTGCATCTGCTGATCACAGAATCTCTGCTCAACCTAAAGCATCTCAATTAAGAAGAACCTAAGCTACAATGGATTTCCTGCTGTAGTTTGATGGGTTATTTTCATTCCTACAAAGTCTTCATCATGTTCTAAATAAATAAGTACCCTGAGGGATGGATATCACAGGTGAGCAACCATTGCACAGTCTGCTTTCAGTTAAATCCCATCTCCATTTTCATCACCTCACACTATGAGTCCTGCATGGAAGACCCAGGCTCTGATGCCTCATTGCGCTTTTGGTACTTTTTCTTTAAGCAAATGAAATATTCTATTTTAAAACATTCAAACCCTGGAGTTTCTTTCTATTTTCACCTGAGACTACTGCCAGCCAAGGTCACAAACTGGCTGGTACGTGTTTGTGTGCACAGACCACAGATGCTACCCTGTGTCCATGCCCCGGGTGTCTGTCAATGTCCATTGAAAGAGATGGCTGGAAGAGGGGCTCTGACTGCCCTGCGCTGTTCTGGGGCTGGGCTGGTAGAGGCTGCAGAACGCTCTGAGAGACACAGCCTCACCCCTGCCACCATCTTGTGCATGGCACAGCCTCATCTCTGGCCACCATCTTGTGCATGGCACAGCCTCAGCTCTGGCCACCATCTTGTGCATGGCTGCCTCAGCCCCAGCCGCCATCTTGTGCATTGTGGCAGCTCTGAGGGCTGTGCGAGGGACACTCTTCCCCAGCGCTGTTTTGTGCCCTTCCTTTCCAGGGATAACATTTGGAAATTCTGCTTCTCTCCTGGGTTACCCTGTTTCGACCTTCTCAATACACAACTCGCTCTCTTACTCTTATTATGATTAGAAGATCCTAAAAAGAAAATGAAAATCATACTGGGATTATGATGCATAAAAAGTAGTCAAGAAAACAGTACTCCATAGTGCAGGGCCTATAGAGCAAGGATTTGTTCATTCAACACCACAAGTGAGGGGAATAGCTCCACCACTTGTCCATTCTTTGCACAGTACAAGCTTTTGAGCTTTTTTAACTTAATGGGCACATTCTACTTCCCTGACCTTCACATTTTCTAATCCTTCATTATGGAAGCCCTTGTAGCAGGGCTCTGGACGAGGTGGTCGTCAGCCTCCTGATGGTCGTTGCGGATGAAGGCCAGAAGTATTCCTCAGGCTTGAACTTTTTTATCTCTGTTTATGCACATGCTCTATGAGATTGTCTGCTCAAATACCCAGGGGTTAGCTTTTTGCAGTTGGCTTGTTGTGCTAAAGTTGCTGATTTCTAAGAAGTGCTGGATTCCCATACCCTGTTACAAAGTAACTACTTTCCTCAGAGCTACAGCTTTTCCCCCTAGTTCAAGCACTATCTCTTTGCCTCAGTATCCAAAAGAAGAAAGGGAGGAGGGGGAAAAGTGGGCAGGGCGATAGGGCAACATTATCTTGTTGCCCAGGGATCAATTCCTAGGTCAACTAAGCAGTATTCTCGTCCATCTAGTAAGTGTGGGGGTACCATAGGGACAATGCCATTGCATGGATTTGGAGTGTTGCGGTGTTGGCACCAAAATCCTGCTCTTGAGGGAAGAGCAGGGACACAGGGGCTGTCAGAGGACAATGAGACACGGGGGACATGAGGCCATAATGTGCCGAGCAAGATCCTGCCCAGGATGGCAGCAAAGGCATTTCCTCCCCATGGCCTTGGCATTGCAGGAAATCCCAAAAGGGGCTGAGGAGTCCCATGGGTAACGAGGAGGGATGACCGACATCACTGTGGCTGCCAGCATTCCCCAATCACTGGCCATTCCATGGACACTGGGGACTCTGAGGATGTGTGGATATGCTGGCTTTACATTAATTAATACTCAGTGAGGAGAGAAGAAGCCAGCCAAAAAAATTATTTTTCTGAGAGAAGCTGCTAAGAGCTTCCTCTGTGCCTAGTAAAAAACCAATAGCTGTCTAGTTCTGAGAAGTGACAACCCATTAAACCATTCAGAAGCTTGCTCTGCCCCTGTGAATTCTACATTTTAAAAGACAGGCAAGCCCAAGAGGGCTCTCTCTTGTTTCCAGCCTTGAAAGGTAACTGGGCTCTGGCTGGGCCTGCCCCGCTCCACCGCAGCCTGCGAGGCCTGGAGGGGCCGGGCCAGGCCCCAACAGGAGCCAGGCGGGGGATGGGAGGCTGCAGGGCCCTGGCCAGAGCTAAGTCAATTCACAGCTACTAACATCTTACTAACACCAAGCCCTGGCCTCAGCCCTGGCCCTGTCTGCTCGTGCTGAGCCAGAGTCCGCTGGGCCCTGGGAGTAGCTGCTGGCCAAGCCAGGCCCCCTCCAGCGCGACCCCCCACAAGCGGCTGCCATCAGTGGAAAAGGGAAGCCATCAGTCTGCAGCTGAAATGAAAAACAGCTGAGGCCAAAGACCAGTCACACAGCAAGAACAGCCATGACCATTGTGATCAGGTCCCTGAGGTCTTAGCACAACCACAACACTGCCTCAAATCCATCACCGTAACTATTTCAACCACTACCCAGCAAAAATCATCGTAACCATCTGCAGGCCAGGGTGAGATATTAACTCTTTCACTGCAAAGAGAAGACCTAGAGACCTTAATCCTCTCTCAAGAGAGAGAAAAATATAAAAGACACGTATTAGATAACATAAAAGTTAATAAAAAAAGATCAAGTTCCAAATCAAAGAACCATGAGGAGATACCCTAATATGCCATTGCCATCTGCTGCAAGTATTTCCACTGAGGCCCCCTTCTAGAAATGTCCCTGCAGCACATCAGCATCAGCTCTAGGTTTGGTTGCATCAGTGAGGCAATTCAAGCCTTACCCCACGCAAACAATCTCCATTCTCAGGCAACATTTTGCTTTGGGTTATCGTTCCAGCTCTTCTGGCTGTGTAGATGATCCTAATAACAGGATACAGTCATTTCAGAATTGGTGTTATTTTTTCAGCAATGAAGGAAAGAAACTCAAACCAAACAAAATTTCTAAAATAGTGGTTTTGAGAGAAGAAATGCACCCCCATTCTTCTCACTTCTTGCCTGTAACCTGGAGAGGATGGTTTAAAGACTCAGAGTCTTTGTTGCTTCTTGTGCCGTGCTGCTGAAACACTTAGTGACCATATTTGTTCATAAGCCAAGCCACTTTCTCCATATCACCAAGCTGGAGCCTGGTGATGGGGAGAGCCTGCCAAAACCTCTGTTTGTTTCTGGCACTTTCTGGAATGGCTCCATTGTTTCCTGCCACTTTCTGGGATGGGCCCAGTGTTTTTGCGATGACTTGAGTATCCAACGAGCAGAGGCTTAGCAAAGGGATGACACTTCTCTTTCTTCAGATTTCACCAGGAATGTTTTCCTTTTACTGCATAAGGAAATCTGAAATTTTCAGACTGCAGAGAGACAAAGCTGCAGGCGGCTCCTGTGTGCCCAAACAGGCATTTTTATCTCAATACATTTGTGGAGGCATCTTAATGTATCTGTGTTGAATAGGGGATCTCAAATGTTTGTTTCCTTCCCTGAAGAGCACCTGGGGGATTTCCTTTCTTGTCTTCCAATTACCATTGTTTTCAACAACAGGACAAAAAGCTTGATGAGTTTTGTTTTATGGCAGCTGTGCTTGAGGGACCGACAAGAACTGCTGAGCTGCCTTTTATGTAATAATTCTTAGAAAGAGTAGAGTTAGTTAGAATAGCAAAATCCCTCTTCCAAGAAGCCTGTCAAGCTGGTGTGAATCCTCAGAGAAGGAAACATGGATTTGCATGTCTTTATTTCCCCACTAACTAGATCAGTCCATGAAATCAGCTGCCAAAGCAAGACCTGCTGGATGTTGGAAAAGCTGGAGCTGCTTTGGGGCTTGGGTTTTTTGATGATACAGGGAAGTCATCTCTGCCTCTCTGCCCGGGCAAAAACTACCACTGCAGAATGGAGCTGAAACAATGGGCTCTGGGAGAGCAGTTGTAGATGGGAAAGAAGCAGGTGGAGCCTTGTGTTTCTGTTTGCTCCAGGTTCAACTCCTGATAGCCAAAGGAGGGACCCCACAGCTGCGGCAGCCCAAACTCCTCTCAGCTTTGCTGCGTGACTTCCTGAGCTGCTGTGTGCAGACAGATGAGGCACAGCGCTGGTCTGCTGAGGAGCTCCTGCAGGTAAAATGCCAAGGGGCTGCAGGTGAAACAGTGGCTGAAGGATGGTGGCTCCTTCTCCGCTGAATTCCAAGGCATCAGATGTGCCCCCCTCCTCCTCCCTTCCAATCTTGGTGCTGTTCAACTGAGAATGGTGAGGAATCCTAGACTGGGCAGGGCTGGCAGGGACCTGTAAAGCTCATGTGGTCCAAGTGCCCTGCAGGGAGCAGGGACATCCTTAAAGAGAACAGAATACTCAGACCTGAGCTATTTCCAGGGGTGGGGCACCTACCAGCTCTTGGGCCAACCTATGTCACTGCTGCCCCATGCTCCTTAGACCTACTCTGACTCAATGCCCTTTTCATTTAAAAAATATTCCCCTGCCTTTGAAGCTCTTAGCTTGGAAAATCATGCTTTCTTCTTGTTTCCTTTTCCTTACTGCAGTATCAATTTGTAACATCGGTCAAGCCTGGCTCCAGCCTGGTGCCACTCATCCTTTCAGTGAAACAGTGGAAGGCGAGAAGGATAATGTTTTAATCAATTTAGAACAGTTTTCGCCATGGCCATCTTAGAATAGAATTGTAGAGTAGTGAATGTAGAGAATGATTGTAGAGATAGTATGGTCAGCTGGGCAGCAACAAGAAGAACAGGAGCAACAACAAGAAGAGAGGCAGCTGCACTGCACAAGTGCCTGGCACAAAAACTGATTCTGAACAATCCTTTGAAAAGACTTCTTGACAGGAAACTAAGCACAGGGAGACTACATGCAGAGGAAACAGAGACCAGAAGAGAACAGGTAGCAAGTATGTTTGTCATCTATAAACATTAAAGAGAGCTGGACCTAACAGAGCCTTTCTTTTCTTGGGAATAAACGCTTCAATGTTTCATTCAACAAAAGGTTTCATACTTCCTAAGATTAAATGCATCTTGACACCTAGAATCAATTCCTACAAAGAGATGCCAATTTGGTAAGAGGAAGAGCATTGCCAAATGTTCCCATCGTCTCCACCATGCTGCAATTTGCCAAAAGAATGAATGCCTTTCCATCTGTAAAGCAGAGCAGCTGATGCTCTAACCCATTCCAAGGGGGCCTCCAGCATCAGCACCCTCACCCTGTATGCTCCAAGACGCCCTTGCCCGTGGCCCATTGGAAGAACCCCAGTGCTTCCCTTCACCCTGACAGCGCGGATCAGTGGCTGCCATTGGACTCGGCCTCTCAGCACCGCACACGTCCCCCCCACCTTCCCAAGTGGGCACAGCGGGCAAGGGCAGCGAGGAGAGCAGTGCTGCTCAGGCGCCGCTGTGACACGCACAGCTGCCCAGAGGAGATGCTGTCCCTCTCGGGAGTCCAGGCCGTGCCGTGCAGAAGCCGGCCCAGACAAGGGGCTGCTGCCTCGGGCCAGCTCGGCTCTGCAGCGGCCGGCCGGGCGGCAGCGCCACTCTCCCAGCTAAGGAAGGCTCCAGCCCCTGCAGTCACAGCAGCCCTCAGGGCCAGGGCACACAGCAAGGCTGCCAAAGGCCAAGCATGAGCACTGACAAGCCATGGCCACAAGCCACAGCCATCCTGAGCCCCTGACAAGCTGCTGTCCCCATTCAGGACACAACGGGATTGGCTTTGGCATCAGACACACCCAGGTGTGGATCAATTTTGTCTCAACAAGTGAAGGTACACACAGATGAAATGGGATCTTTTCTCAGCCCCACCAGGTCTTTATGGGAGGGCACAACACTGGCAGCTCTTATGGGTATGGATGCTAGCTTTGGAACAGGCTGAAGGGAGCTGCAGAAACTGCAGGCCCATGGCCTCTCAGTCCTGCCTGAGAAGCTAGCCTGAGAAAATTCATAGGAGGATTTCAAAACAATCCTCAGAGACAGAAAACAACTGCCAGGTGCTGTTTGTCTGTCCTCTTGTTTTCCCTTGCAGGAGAAAGTCAGGGGGGTAGTGTGCCCCTGACCACTGATGGTGATGTAGCACTTTGCTAACCAATAAGAGTTTCTTTTCTGTACTTTCCACGTACCAGTCTATAAAATAAGCCTGAAGCAATAAACTAGAGAATTCTCGTGTTGAACCTCCCTTGAGAGTTTGTGTCGTTCTTTATAGCCGTTCCAATCGGAACGACATATGGGCAAGAAGCAGATTAAATGGGTTGTGCTGCAGAATCACAGAGAATGTGTTTTCTTAGAGACTGATCTGAGCAGGGGTTGGGCCAATGGGTAGAACTCAAGCAACTGCTCCAGCAACAATTCCTGCTTCTTTCTTCAGTAGAAAGGGAAGCCCAGGTAAACTTTAACCAGTCCAGGCTGCCCTCAGGGACAGCAGGAACATGCAGAGTGCTCTCTCCCTGCCTCGAAGCAGAGCACTTCCTGTGGAGAGACCTAAATGTCCCTGTGACACCAAACTGAGGAGGAACATTTGGTACAGCTATGCTGGCATGTGCACACAATTCACTGTCCCTCAGACAAGAAATAAATTAGATGTACTCAGTAGCTCCGGGAAATCCTCCTGTGGCTGAGCAGCATCTGTGTCAATGCTGGCGATGAAGAAATTGCACAGGCTCCACTTCTCAGGGAGGGGAACCAAGGCTTCGTGGTAGCTCTGAGAGTAGAAATGAGTTGGTGTTAGAAAAGTGACTGGCAGAGATTACCCTGAATACCCTTTTCAAATTCAAGCCCGTAAGAAGTTGCTCTTAGCCACATGCCAAGCTCATAAACTGGATTATTTTGGATACCCATTTCTAGAACCAAATGGTCAAAACCAGAAGTTGGTTTTAATTGAGTTCATAGCCAGTTTCATATTCCATTTTCATGGATTTTCATATTCCATTTTCATGGATTTTCTGAAGGATGACTGCAGCAATGACCATTCCATTTCCTCCCAAGGATCCCTTTCCCCCTCAAAGGGCTGCAGACACATTTGCAGATCCTTGTTCAAATGTTGTACCTCCTCCCACTGAGTCCACTTTTCCTCCACCATCTTTGAGACATGCTCAACCTTCAGCATCTCTGCTTGGGACAGTTTCTGTGCCTCACGCCAACCTTGGGTCTCTTCATCACCTGTCATTTGCTGGAAGCCTTCCCAGGCTGCCAGGTGAGACGTCAACACTCCAACCTCAAGTCAAACAGAACAAAGCAGTCAGAGACTACAGCTTGTCCCTTTCTGCCAAGGCTCATTGACTGTGAGGAAAGAGAACGAGCAGGAGAGGAGCAGATTCCACAAGGGATACAGACAGCTTGTGGCTTGTGTTCAACATCTATCCGGGTGACTGTGTTCACTTGCAAAAACACCTGAAGAAACAAGGAGAGCAGGAAGAGGCCAGCGGGAATGCATTCAGATGAGTGCTGGCAAAAGGGGAAAGCGACTTGTGCCACTGTCCAGAGCAGTAATTGAGACTCAGCACACCAGGAAGTTTCTTCAAAGCAGCTGGGATAGACACTACAGCAGGATGGCACTGAGAGGCATCACCCCAGCTCCCTGCTGCTCTGCAGGGGAAAGGCAAGAGGGGCTGAAACCACCAGACTGCAGTGACTGCAGTGGCTATCGCTGTTTCACTCACTTGTTTTACTAGAGAACCCTTCCTCTGAATCAGGTGATTAATTTTCTCTATGACAATTTTCAGTTCTCTCTTCAGCCTCTTCTCCTTTGCGTCGATCCTAGCCTCTGTTTCCTGCAGCTCTGCCTGGAGATTTTCCTTGATGTCCTCTAAAAAACACGAGAGAGACAGCTTGATGAGTGGAGTGACTTCTACTCTTTCACTCACCTGATTCTGCTGATCTCCTCTCTGCTGATGGAGCCTCATCTCCTCTTCGGTGCTCCTCATGTCTTCCTGGTGCCTCCTCTTCACTGCCACAATGGCACTCTGAGCTTCAGGCAGCTCTGCTTGTGGCTCTGCCTCGATATTCTGTACACACAAATGGAGAACAAGTGACTGGGAGCTGCCATCAGGCTCAGCTTTTCCCTCTTTCAGCCTCAAATCACACTCATTCAGTCGCTTCTTTCTGCCTACTTAACCATCTCTGCTTCCACTGTAACCCTCCTGTCCCAGTGCTGATCTCTGCAGATTACAAGGCTCTGTACATCAGTGCCTCTGGGACTCCTGGCCTCCTCAGTCCCAAGAGCTGTGTTTTATGCCCCTCCTCCTGCCCTGCACTCTGTCACCTGCTGAGTCAGGCTTACCTGGCCATTCTCCAGTGGCTCTTCCACATGCTGCCCAAGCTGCTCTTCCTGCTATCGGGCTGGAAACAGCTCTCCCTCAGTCTGGCATGGCATCTCTGACAAATCAATCTGCTCCTGCTCTTTCTCCAGAACAACCTGCACAGAAAGCAAGAGAACATGGCCTTCAATTCCCCACACAACATTTGTGGGCCAAGACTCAAACACTGATGGGCTCACACGTTCCCAAAGCACTGTGCTGCTGCTCTCTTGTCTTGTTCTCTGCCCATGGGGAGACACAGATTCCAAAGTGACACTGGCAGTAAAAACAGGGTCCAGCTGGGTCTGAATCCCCAACAGACTCCTGGGCAGCTGACAGGAAATGTGTGCCATTTCTCAAGGGTCTGCTGAGGGCCTCCCTCCCCTTCTGCTCTGTCCTCTTTGTCTTTCCGTAGTCACTCACACTCAGCCCTGTCCCACAGCTCCACCCTGGCTCTGCAGGTGGCTTCCTGTGTGATTTCATCCCTTGTGAGAGACACATGTGGAGTTCATGTTCTCTTCAGGCCTGCACCACCATTCCTGCCTTTCTGACATCTACACTCTTGTTAGAAATCCTGCTCATTCAGGAGATAAGGATGTGTGCAATTTGATCCTCTGATGGAGGTCAGAGAGCCCCTATGGCCACCTGAGTATATGGAAGAGGACCAAGGTGTTTATCCTCCCTCTTTTGTCAGCTGAGAATTCTGAGCGGCACTAAGAGATCCTCCAAAGGCCCCATCAACAAATGAATTGACACACCCCGAGGGATGCCAATGAAGGAAACCATGTGTCATGTAATCCATGTATGACCAAAGTCTCCAAACTCCACCTAGAGTTTGAGATTGTTCCACTCCATTAGGACATGCAGCAATTTGATGGATAAAAAGAAGGTTTCACAGCAGAAGAGAGTGGAGGAAGAAAAGAGCTCTGAGGGAAAAAAACAACCCTCCCTGCAGAGGGAATCATCTCTG